TATATATATATATATGTATCAATGCACACAGCATGGGGACAAACAGGAGGAACTGGAGCTCTGCATGCAGTTAGAAAGTTGTGATATCTTAGGATTAACTAAAACATGGTAGCACAAATCACATGACTGGAAGATTGCAGTGGATGGCTATAGCCTGTTTTGTAAAGACAGGTAGGGAAAAAGAGGAGGAGGAATTGCACTCTATGTTAAGAAGAACCTTGAAGATGTAGAAGTTAAGCATGGTGACTGTGGAAGCCCTATCAAATGCCTCTGGGTCAAGATCGGAGAGTAATCTCCAAGGAGGATCTTAAAGTAGACATCTGCTACCAACCTCCAAAACAAGACACTAAGGCCAACGAAGCAGCATTTGGTCACTTAAGCAAGCTTTGGGTCAACAGAACCTGCTTCTCATGGGTGACTTCAACTACCCAGACATTTGTTGGAAGAACAATACAGCAGCTCATATGTCATCCATCAAGTTGCTGGAATGCATAGAGGACTGCTTCTTCATACAAATGTTAGATGTGCCAATCAGGAATGAGGCACTGCTGGACTTGCTACTCACAGAATCAAGAAAATCTGCTTGGTAGTATCTCAGTTAGTGATAGCCTTGGCTGCAGTCATCACCACCAGAGAGTGGTAGTAAATGGCTCCTCTTCAAAGTGAGAGCCTTTCAGCAGTGGGGTCCTCCCATGGATTGATATTGGGCTCAACACTGTTTAATGTCTTCATAAGTGATGTGGATCGTGACATCAAGTCTACCCTGATGAAGTTTGCTGATGATACCAAACTGAGTAGGGGAGTAGACACTTTGGAAAGGAGAGACACCCTGCAGGAAGACCTGGATAGGCTAACAAGAGGGCTAGCAAGAACCTTGTAAAGTTCTACAAGAAGAATTTATGGTCTTGAAGCCAGGAAAACATAACCCAGGAGTGCAGCACAGACTGGGATCTACTAGCTGGGAAGCAGTTCTGTGAAAAGCCATCTAGGGGTCCTGGTGGACAACAACCTCAACAGGAGTGAACAGTGTGCTGCATCAGCAAGGAAAGACAAGGTGAGTCTGGCTTGCATCTACAAAGGCATCAAAATTCTCAAACTAGGGCACCTGGAATGATGAAGAAGTCATTACCTCACTCAGTGCTTGTCAGGCCACACCTGAAATACTGTGTTCAGTTTCAGTCCCCTCTGTACAAAAAGAATGTGGACAGGCTGGAGAGGGTCCAGAGAAAGGCCGCAAAGATGATCAAGGTCTGGGAAGCTTGCTGTATGAGAAAACTCTGAGGGAATTGGATTTGTTCAGCCTTGAGAAAAGAAGGCTTAGGGGAGGCCTTTCAGTATTTTCCAGTATTTTATATGTTCCAGTGTTCAAGGGTGGCTATATAGAAGATTCCTTTTTTAAAAGGAGTTGCATGGAAAAGACAAGGAATAATAGGTACAAGTTACTCCTAGGAAGATTTCAACTGGATACAAGAGGAAATTTTTTTCCCAGTGAGAACAATCAGCCATTGGAATAATTAATCTCCCTAGGGAAGTGGTGGCTTACCCAACATTGGACACTTTTAAGAATCAGCTGGACAGGGTACTGGACCATTTTGTCTGTACCGTGATTTTGCCAAGAAAGTTTGGACCAGATGATCCTTGAGGCCCCTTCCAACTTAATATTCAGTAATTTTATGATTCTATTACAGCTAGCCAGAATATTTTAAAAATACATAAATTTTCATCCACAAAACTGGGAGAGGGATATTTTTCAAATAAGTTTTCTTCCTTTTCTTCTTTTTTAACAAAAACTGGTGTGTGCCTACTCTCTTTTGATATCTGTCAGTAGAGTAATAGAATGAGTTTCACTAAAATCACTCATCAAAATGATAAACAAAAGATTGACAACAAAATACAAGTAAGAGAAAGTAAAAATTAAAAGGGATACAATCATTTTTTTCCCCTTTCAGCTTCAGCATTATGATCTTGGGATTAAAGTATCAGAACATTTTAATCTTTTTGTTTTTTCTCGAATTTCCGAATTAATTACATTTCTTTAATGACCTACCCTGAAAGCTGTCAGCAGTCTAAGTGCTCTGTGAACTACTGCTTTGTAAACAAAACCAAAATAAAATCTTTTACCAGAAAACAAATTCTTTGTAATGGCATGTGCAGATATTATGCTGCCAAATCATGCAGTAGTTATTCTGGAAATCTCATTGTGGGTTTTTCTTTTCCAGTAATTCCTGAAATCAAACATCTAATACTTTGTTTCTGAACCTGAAAATATCTAAACACATCTAGTAATGGAAAAATAATTGGAAGCTTACTCATATGTGCAGCTAACTCAAGGAGTCTTCTCAGTACCATGGCCCAAAGGACACTCAAGGTCCTCTTTCTCAGAAGAGGAACAGAACTCTGTAGATTGTACCCTGCCACTTCTCCACCTGTAAGTTGCCACAGTCCTCGAGAGCTGTGAGGGGCTCCCTGGGTATCCTGGGGACTCCTCCTCTGCAGATGCTGGCTCTGCTCTGGACACTACATTGTCAGACCTACTGGTTGGTCTGCAGGTGATCTTGTAGACACCACCAACGTCACACATGAAACTGGCCTGCTGGAGTATGAAAATACAGTAGAAATTCATGAATGGAAGGACTGAAGAGACTAGATTTTGATGGAGGGGTGAGTCATTCACAAAATTTGTTGTCCTTCTTAGAAATCCAGACCAGCTGCTGTGAAAAACCTTTCCAGGATCACCCAAAAACATGGCATGAGTTTACAGATGCACAAATTACAACAATTCTCGAACTGTGGCATATGGAAAAGCCAGAACAGCCTGAAAGTTATAATCTGAGACCAGAAAACATATTTGGGTCTACTGCGGAGTAGATCTTACCTGTTACTATAAAGCTGATGTTTCTTTCAGCTTTTCCCACTTTGTTGGATGCCACACAGCTGTAGATTCCAGAAGATTCGGCTTCAGCTACAACGAGAGTGCTAGCAGTCTGTGAAAGAAAGAAGAGGTTTAATTCTCATTGACTCAGGAACTTGGTTAAAGCTTCACCTCTCTTTTTCCCAAGTAACTGTTGACAGTCTCGTGATCCACTCTCTCCATTGACTCAGTGATGAGGACTACTGGCATTATTTAAAGGAGATGCCACCATATACAGTTTTGGAAAGGGTGGAAGAATAACAGGAAACAAGCTCCTTGGGTGACCCTTATGTTATCAAAACAATCATAACAAAAAATCTTTGAATGTATCTTTCAGAGTAGTTTATCTCTTGCTGCTGATGTAACGATAAGCTACAAAACATGAAGTATGACACAACATGGTCAGGAGATAAGCAATCTGTAGGCAATCAAGCTACAACGGTAACAGGTGATGTGTGGCTCAGGTCATTGGATAATGCTGGGAAGAAAGTTTGCATTTGACACTAAATGCATTTGAATTCTCTTTCATTTTCTCATGTACTTGTCAGGTGAGAAAGGACAGGGCGAAAGAGATGCTTACTCATTCTCTTTTGGGCTATTTCCTCTTCTTGGATTTCATATTTCCATCATCAAACAATAATATGTTGGTTTTCTTTATATTGTATTCTATCACCCTTTTAAGAGGTTCAGCACACTATTTTCACAAAGTGATACGACATGCAAGACAAGACTTCGGAAGGTCAGAGACCAACAACACAATACCTGATGTCCCTTTAGAAAAATAAAAAACATCATAATAGTAATGGATATACCTTCGTGGTAATGGAAACTCAGGTCTAATGGCTTGGGCACCAGGTGAAGGAAGAAAGTTATAGAGAAAAAACTGAGGTATCATTCTGACATGGAGCTGAGATACAGGGCATGCACAAGGAGCTCAACAGGGGGATGTGCTCAGATGCAACTTGGTAGCTTAATTTTCTGTATTTCTGTCTCCAGTTTACTTCATCTGTAAGACCTATTTTTGCTGGAATCACAGTGAGAGCTGTGACAGTGAGAAAAGGAAATTGTGTAGCCACAGAATCCCATTGTTTGAAATTATCTGGCTTTTCTAAAAGCCTTCAAAATAATTTTTGTGCAATTAATACATTCTTTTAAGTCTGCCTGATTGCCAGAGTCCAGGGACAAGCACCAGAGGGTGAGTCAGTAATAAATAAGGACCAGTTATCTACATTTCTACATAAACACTGGCTGAACATTTGCATTGCTTCTATGTTTCCTATTCAGAGACCTCATGGCTATCCTCAAACTCCTTGCTGAACCCCAAACTAATACAGGCCTTCTGGTTTCCCAAAACACTCTTTACTAGAAAGAGTCTAATACTTTCCAACTACTCGAGCAAACAAGTGGAGTCAAGCAATTAGATTTAAGCTTATCTGGTTTAGAAAACTGCCCTACGGCAAATTAAAGACTACAAGTGATGCTAACAGCACCTCTATCCTGATAAGCTGTCTCAATGGTCAGCTGCCTGTTTGCTAACAAATTACATCTCATTTCTAGCTAGAATTTTTCTAACCTGCACTTTTGGCTCTTCTGTGAGATGTAAGAGACTCAACAATACCAGATAGATAATTACAGCCCTTTAAATGAGTCATCCTGTTTTGCTAAATTCAGTAGGCTGACCTCTACAGATTCATAATTATAAAGCATGGGTCCAGCCCTGTCTATGTTTTGTCATCCTCTTTGAATTCCTTCCAGTTTTTAAACATAATTTTGTCAAGTGTGGACACAGGGCCCCATAAGAGTCTTGCAGCCGTTTTATCAATGCTAACTCAGAATAGAAGGAAGTCCCATAATATCAGCCAGAGGGCTAATGTGGTTAAATACTGCTTCTGCTATCCCAGACTTTCCATCACAAAAATAGCCTTTTTTTGCGTTAGTTGGTATTACCTCATAGCAACTTTGCCTATGGAGGAACAGTGACCTAAAAGGCACAGTGAAGGAGAATGAAGCTCCTATTCTCTGACTCCAGAACACTTGTCTTTATCTACTGTACCCAGGACCACAGCATTTCTGAGCCTGAAAAAAACATGTCAGTTATTCCTCCCACAATTACTCCAATGGTTTGGAAAGTTTTTAGTACTACCAAACTGTATTTTTTCCTGACATAATCAGGTATTAGTTTTTAATGAAAAATTGTGCATCTTACGTGAGTCTGCTACGATGTGATTATTAATTTTATTACACTAAGGGCAGCTCATACAGCTACACTACAGCAGTATGACTGTAGCTACTGACCAGAAGTCGTACAGATTATGCATTTTCTTGCATATTAAATGGCCCTAGAGAACATCCTTTGGCACCAAAATTCAGTGATTTAAATGCTTTTCTCCAGCATTTTTTTTTGGTTTTGACCAGCTTGCACTGTCTCAAATACTCCTCTAGCACAGGCCAAGGATCATTTCCAACAGGCAACTTCCCTGAAGACAACATCTTTTGGAGAGCCAGGGAGATAAACGTTACAAGCTCAGGCCTTAGTGCCAGAGAGTAGTCACTGGTATGTTTATTTGACTAAGGCAGAGAAAGCCATAGTGTCTAGGAAAAAGGAAGACTGACTTTGCAGCTGAACAGAGTATTTTAGAGACAACATGTCTCTGCATAAATCTTTCAGCTTATAAATTAGTCATAAGGATAAGATAACATCTCTTAAAATAGTTTGTGAGCCCTCCAGTGGCGCAGTTTGTGTTCTGCATTGTGGATGCCAGCCAAAACCCACCAGAGCAGCAGTGTGTACGAAACTAAGCCTGGCATGTTGTTTATTGAGCAATTACAGCTATTTGAGATCTGTCTGTGCTGCATGGTTCCTCTATACAGCTATTGCTGCAAAAGAAGCAAAAGTTCTTGCACCACTGTATCATCTGTCTTCACAACAGAGAGTTTTAGACCCTAGATTTGCAACCACACTATATACAGAATGTCTGAATCCAGTTGTCACGATCAGGCAGAAGAGTGCAAATCATTCCTGGCATGCTTGGCATCTCCAGCACTGTCTGTCCACCAACCCCATTTACCATCAAAGATTTGATCCTGTATTGCTCCTTTCTGCAAGTGTCATCTAGGCTGAGGTACCATGCTACAGGATCATCTCAAAGCCAGGGACTAGGGAAGTAAATCCCATATTGGTGCTGCTTCTGATGGCAAATAAAAGAGGTGTAAAGCAGAAAGCCTGAGAGATAGGAGAGGTATCTACATATTTATTCGTGGCAGAAACTCATGAGGAAAACACTGCAAGGAAGAGAGAATGCAAAGCAACTGGCATAATTTGAGCTTGGAGTTGGGGGGGCTCATCCTGCAGGGTCTGCTTGAATTTCTCATCTCAAAATAGCATCCATAGAGGATTCCCCCTGCTCCAGCTGACGGCAGAGAAGCAAGGGGAGGTTTTAGAAAATGGTTGGCAACTTGACTCTTGCCTGACTCCTAGAAGGCCTCTGCAGACACTGGCATAAACATGGTCTGTTCAGAGATTGCTGTTCTAACTTCACAAAACAGCGCATACATTTAAAAAGCAAAATACTACACTTTCAACATTGAGCAGGTTCACGCACGTCTGCCAAATATTGTTGACTCCTGCTTAGTTATGCTTTTAATGAGATGTATGTGTTAAAAAAGAAGGTAATAAATGAAAATATACTCTCCTCACCCCTTGGATTTGTCTTTGGCTAAAGGAACGTTATTCAGGGAGACCCATATTGAAATATTGGCAGCACACCACTGGGTTGGTCTTCTCATGCCGAAGTCATATAATCTGCATGTCTCACATGTTGACAGGGAGCATCAGTGCAACACATCTGGACAACACACTTCATCTTCGGAACCACCACAGAAGCACCAAAATATCTTCAATAGCGGGACACGAAGTCACGAAGGAGAACACCCTCTTCCCCCTGGGGCCAGACAGGCAAGTCACTGCCGTTTAGCAAGCAAAGCTGGGGTTTCCCTCTTCATCCCAGGTTGTCCTGTTTGAACAGGTCATGAGGCTGAATGCAGATGGCTGACTCACGAGGAGATCAAGCTACCAACACCAATGCCACCGCCTGCCCTCCTCCCCAGGGCCATAGGTAGAGCGAGGCAGTGCCCGATTCATGCCTTCCTCGTGCTCCGAGGGAAGGGATCGATTTCAGGAGGGGAAGGGAGCCGTGGCTCAGCAGAAGCAGGTGCCAAGTTCTACTGTTTTTAATCTCACTAAGGGCTTAGTGCAGCTGGCACCTCTCAGTGATCTGCTTGGAAGTGTTGACAGCGATTCTAGTAGCACTCAGGAAGGCCCCAAAGAGAAGTTACAATGTGCTGAAAGAGAGGCAAGCTCCACTCCCACTGCTATCTTTAGCCACCCTAGGCTTCCTAGGAAGATCACACTGTCTGTCCATCTGTCTGCCAGCCTGTCCATCTGTCTGCCAGCCTGTCCATCTGTCTGCCCGTATCCTCTTCTCCCCCTCCCACTTAGTAAATTTTGAATTCCTTGCCCAGTTTCAATCAAAACTGACAGATGACTCAAGGCTCATAAGCTGTCGTGTATTTTATGAAAACCAGCTGTTGGGTAGAGGAGAAATATCAAAATGAGTTGTTGCAGTGAGCTAAACAGCTTTCTCTTCTGCTTTTGGTTCCAGATGGCCAATCAGCACAGATGTACTGGCATGTGTAGGGACGGAGAACAGACACACAACACACTTCCTTGTCTCATCAGTAGTCAGGGAACATGGAAGAGAGCTAGAGGTTTAGGGCTTGGCGTAGAAGATGCAGGAGAGTTAGACTTAGCCTATTTTGCATGGTCACATCTTATCAGTCACATCCAGGAAGGATTGACTCTTCTGACTATCTAGCATTCCACCTTTATGCTGGATGGTCACAGTTTTTAATACTATCCACAGCTGGCAGTCAGTTTGGCCCATCATTGCCAGGCAAACCAGAGACATACAAGGTTTGGCGAGCCTACGTTTGGGCTTGCAGAATTCTGTTATAGGGCCATTTCTTCAATTTTCCCTGAAGTCAGGTGACTTTGTCACTCACAAGGAATGGACCAGTAAAAACTTGTGTCAGTAAGGTATTTATGCAGTAGAAAACAAGATCACACAGATACATGTACACATATGAACAATAAACCACAACTTCATGCATTGCTATTCTTTATAAACAGTCCCTGGAGTCATGCACTGTGACACAGACCCAGTTTCATGGCACCAGTTATTGTGAGTGGGACTCCAACAGTTGCTAGCAGCAGAGGGATGGGGCAGTCAGGGACCTTCTGTTACATTCCACATTCTCAAGAATGTGGCTCTAGTAGGCTATTTCCCAAAACCAAGGGGGTTTTGTCCCACTCTCTCCAACATTTCCCTGTAATCAACTGCCCTCCTGTCTACTGTCTCCTTCCCTTTGATCTATCACGCTTCCTTCTTGGGCAACGCTTTCTACTCTCCCTCATCTGAATCCACCTTCTTAGCATCCTTCTGTGCATTCTCCACACCCAGGACCACTGTCCAGCTCTACTGCAGTTCCCTGTCCCTTGCACCCCTGAACAAAGGAGTACTGACTTCTGTGAAAGCACACCCAGTAGAGAACACATGCCCAATATGTATGCAGTGATACCAATGAATACACCAACTACACCAACTGTTTGTACCTCATTATTGCAGGTCATTCAGACTGATATTTTAACAAATGCTGCTGCTGGTAATAGTAATAATAGTAATAATGATAATAATAATAATAGCAATAATAACAACAACAATAAAAAAAATGAGCCCCAAGTTATATACAGCAGTTAGCTTTACCTAGAAACACAGAAATGATGATTTTTAGCAGCTGAATGACAGGAGAATGTCTATGATCTGTTTACATGACAAGTCTACTGTAGGTGATCCTCCTCTGGCAGGAGGGCTGGACTAGATGATCCTCTGAGATCCCTTCCAACCCCTGACATTCTGTGATTCTGTGTCTAAGAATAGCCCAGCTTTGTAGGAAGTCACTCAAATGTCCAACAAAACGAGAATGAAAACTTTAGGTGGAGGAATCAAATTACTTCAAGGGCTGTTTTATGATTAAGTATTATGACTTATGTTACAAAATTCTTCCATTATACCACTTGAGTTTCTCAATGTCCGTTCAGAGAGGCTTCAATGGAAACGTTACTAAACCACTGCTGTTGTCACGGTTTTTCTGTCACCAGAATAATGTAGCACAGGCTTCCTGCATTACTTTAACCATAGAGACACAGAGATTGGGGTTTCTCTAACTTTAAAAATATACTTGTAGCTACTTACTTTGATAACCACAGACAACCAACCAACCAATCAATCTACCACAGCAAAAAGCCAAACTGGAACCACTCGGATGTTGCACACACAGGAAATGGGTGGAACTGTCACAATGTCTTTAAGCAAGGTGAAAACAGCTACCTTTACTGCTAAAAGAAACCTTTTGACCATTCCTTGTTCAACTCTTCCCTTGAATACAATAATCTCATCCTGTGGTCACCCCTATTTCTCCTTTCATGTTAACCCAAATGTGCAGCTTTTGGAGTTTCTTCATTGATTTCTTACTGCTTTGTCTCCTACGTCTTTGTTGTTTCCATTGAGCTTTAAGATTGTTTTTGCCATGCTTGCTGTGCTTGAATGTGGAAGTGGGGCAGACACTATTTAGATAGCAGGACTCTGTTGATGTGGAAGCACCTTGGAGAGCTGTTCATAGCTGTTTGCAGTAGCAGAACTGCTCACAGTAGCAGTTCATCCAAGCCAGACACTTTGTGATGACATGCTGCATTCAGTGAGCTCAGTGCTATTAACTGTCTTACAATATCCCAGCAGATGAGGAAGTGTTTTGTCTGAAATGTGTCCCTTTGAGTTTGCTCTAGGAGACCAAGAAAGACTCTTGGACTGCAAAGAGTGAAAAGCTATAGCCTCCCACAGCCGAAAAAAAAAATAAAAAAAAATCCTGGATGCTCTAGAGCAGCTGTGTGTGCACAAATCATGCAACTCACAGGTTGGCCAGGAACCTAGGCTTAGAAAGCATTTTCTACATGCAATAGCAATCCAGCTGTGCTTGAAAGCTATAGAAGAGCAGCGGGAATGAGGAAACCTTAGAAAAGCTGTGAAAAAGCTAAGCAAAGAGATTGTTACACTAAGGTCCCCTTCCTCATAGGAACCAGGAAGAATATACCAGTGCAAGGTAGACACTTTTTAGCTGAACTAAACAGCATAAAGACCGGGAATACCAAGGAGAGCTACTAAATTTCACTGCAAAATTTTCCATGTAACACACGCAGAGACCATTTCTTGGTTCATTTCTGGGCACATTTTTAAAAAACAGCTGCTTGCCAAAAACCTCAAAGAAAATCTGCACTTCTGCCACAAGGGCCCATTATTAGCATCTTCCTACAGGAAGGAATTTATTTGCTCTTGACTGGAAGGTGCTCCTCCTCCTCCACTGTCTCCAAAGTGCACTTCATACAAGGAGAATGAGATCTGGTTGCTAGACAGCTCCTTCTGCACCCTGTGAGCAGGTGAGACTTTACCCATAGCACAGCTAGATGTCTTCTGGAAAAAACCTGGTTCTTATCATCTTTTGTTCATCATTCCCCCTTTGAAATAGACTGTGTCCTCCTGTGCCTGAAATTATTTCCTTTTCCTCCTTCAAATCTCTCCTTATGTCTCATTCTTCATGTGCTTTCCTACGATAGCCTTCCCTAGGAAACTGTTTGCTCCCATCTCTGCCTTGATCTTTAAGCACGTAGAGGTGGCCAGCTAAATAGAGCAAATGCCTCACTGGGATCGAGCCTGTTTCCCATGTGCTGGAATGATGCCACGAACACCTGTGGTACTTTCTGAATAATACAACAGCAGGAGAAAAAGCAGTCCCAGGCCTGATTCTTGGCTGCATGTGAAGACCTATTTATTCTGTGGTGTGTGAAATGACCCCAACATGAGAATAATTACAGTTTATACATTGTTTCCACATGCAGAAGACTGAAGGCAGCCATCAAGGAAAGGAGACCTATATCCCCAGTGCCCTTAAAATTACAAAAAGCATTTTAGTGTCCTTAGAAACGACAGGTTTAGAATAAGGTTGGCTTTAAAATTTATAATCTCTTCAGCCCTTACCACCACAAACCAAACTAGTCTGTGAAACCAGTGGCAATGGCATCGTGCATTTTCACCTGGGCTCCTCTGTGGCACAGGCTACCCAACCACACCAAATCAGTCTCATGTCTACCCTAGGGAAGTGCAGCTGATCTAAGGCATCCTTTAGTAAAATATATTGATTTGAAGGTTTTAACGGATGGACAGTCCTACTTGGCCTTCGGCAAGTTAATCTCATTGGCTTTCTCTCCCACATTAGACACCAACAGTCTACAGGCTCAATTGTCCTTCAGAAGTGCCTGCATCTCCCCATGTCCCATAAAGGGATGCTTGACTTTGACTAGATGCTTAACATTTAGATGGTTAATGCCCTTGGGATGAATCCCACCATGCTGTCTCTGACTGAGATATCTCTTAAACTCTGCATCTGTAATCTGGATTTGTCTGGCCTTTTAAATTTCTTACTGCAAGAGAAGACCTGGTCATCTAATAATCTAAGAACACATCTGTGAATAAACTCTCTAATGAGAGTAAATTGTTTAATTCTTATAGGAAAAACAGCAGGAAATTGTGCAATGGCACAAAATGAAGCAAAGATGGCCTGGAACCCTGCCCCTGTGCTCCTGAGGTGCTCCAAGATACTACAGACCAGCTCTAAGACAGCAGATATGGTGAGCCCCACTGCTACGCTCTCTTGGCAGTCACTTACCTTAATGTGACTGCACGCAGACACAAGTAGATCTCTGCATCTCAGCAGATAAATACCAAGTGTGAAAGTTATTTACATGTATGCAGCTCTTAAAATTCAAACAATATTAAAATACCAGCTTCTTCAGTGTCACCTCGATGGCATCATACAGTGCCTTTTCAACACATGCTGTCACACAGAGACATTTTTTTTCCTAGGAATCATACCTTATTTTTGCCCTCTATTACAGCTGTTCGCTCCGTGATGCTCTGGATCCTGTTTCCTATGTTGCTGCCAGCTTTCACGATGAAAGATCCTTCGGTATAAAAGCAAAAGCCGTGCCTGAAGACAACAAAAGTTGAAATTTTATTGATTTGGTGATAAACTGAAACAGTCGACACGAGATAAAACAATTCTTCTGGGAAGAGTGATCAGTCAGGGAAACTGCAGGTGCTGTGATGACCAGGCAAGTATAGTTGCTTTTCATCAAATCTAGAGGTTTGGAGCCTAATGTTTGGATCTACTTCCAAGGCCCCTCCTTGATTATCAGCTCTCTGGAGTCAGTGTTAGCATTTAACCCACTATGGAGTGGGAGGTCAGAATTCATAGTCTGAGACTAACTATAGGGCTTGTGCAAGACTAACACCCCATTTTCAATGCTCTTGTTTCAGCCAGTGGCATAGTTCAGGCTTAGCTCCAAACATGAGTTCATATTATTTTCAGCCTTAAGTTCAAGACAAGTTATATTTGTTTCAAGATCCATTTCATGATGCATTGGATGCTGTTACACTACATGTAGGTTCTTTTTGTTATCATGAAAAATGATGCAAGTTCTTATTTCTGAATGTTTTCTTTAGTTCAGTTTACAAAATGGCAGAATTTCAATACTGAGGTTCAATGACTACAAGATGCACAGTGAAAAGAACCATCATCCTGCAAATTAGGAAAACAAAATGAAACAAAACTATACCTAATTTCCAAAGGGATTTAAATGTTCATTTACTCTAAAAAAAAAAATCAAAGTCATGCTAATGAATGGAAATCTCAGGGAAAAAATGTTTTTGCCTTATGCAACAAATTGGCTTCTAATCAGAACATTCAGGTGTGGTCATGGTAGAGCTAATTTCTTTCCCAAAGCCTAATTTGGTACACATGGAAATAAACACATTGGAATGCTTCTCAAATGCTGTCTGTCCCTATTCTTCTTTGAGGATATCTAACATTGCTTTTCATCCAAAATCTAGTTGATGCTTGTTCAGTTCCAGCTTCACCACTAGAGCTTAACCCTTCAGCAGGGTCAGGCTTTTAAAAATATGATATATTCCTTTGATCTTCCATGGATTTGAAAGATAACAACTGTAGTATCTGTAATCAAATAGTTCTGACGTGTCTACCAGTTGCTTGGAGAAATGACCTTTAAAGCCCGGTGACTGGATAACAGCAAGTGATGCAATCCTGACTAAAGAATGAGGTTCATTTCCCTTCAGCTAAATGCGCAGTTTGCTTAAACTTCGTGTTGTTTATAAAATCAATGGTACACTAACTTTACTGCTTGTTTTTAATTGTACAGCTTTGCGTCAAACTCGCCAGCGTTTTAGCAGATATTACAGCCTAAAGAGATGATGTGTAAACTAACTGAGTGTCATCATTAGCACAGATATAGGATTGTCTGCCCAAATGTCTTAATGTCGATTGAGAGGCTCAGTGAGCTGAAAAAGCCAAAAAACAGGAACAGGCCATGGTTATTCATGCATTGAGAGAGGACAGAGAGAAATAGCATGGCAAGAAAGCCCTATCTACACAACCAGTTCTTCCAGACTCTGGTTTAGAAGCCAACTTTTAATACATGATTGCGCAGGGCAGGGTAGATAAAAGCTGCATTAAGACAGATGATGAATTTAGATGGGAAAGAAATGGCTAAAAAATATTTGGAAAGATAGCTGCCTTTTCCTTTGCACATTTAATGCTTTAAGAAGTATTGTTGTTACTCTGTAAGAGCAGAACAGAGAAGACGTGATAGTGTTGGTAAGTTGATAACATTCCCATGCCATAGCAGATATCAGAACTTATATCATGATGCCAGTACTGTAGGCATACAAACAGGCACATCCTTGTGACTGGATAATTGGTCAGTCTCTGTACAGGAAGACAGAGACCCCAAAATCACATTTCACCCATATTAAAAAGTAATTTTAAATTCCTTTTTCCTTTCTTCACCAAATGAATCTATGTTTCCTTGTTACAATGCTGAAAATTTGTGGTCTTTACTACCAAAGTCCTTACAGAGATACATATTTTGTTAAAGGACAGAAAGAAAGTATAATGCATATTCAGAAACCACCTGTGCCTCTCAGAAAGGCATCTCCAATTTCCTTTCTAGCAGTCCTGGAGCCTCCAGGCTTAGTTATTTTTATACTCTTCCTCATAATTCCTTGGAAAAGACTGTATATATTTAGGTTCAAATGTCTTAGGGATGAGGATAGTGTTATGTCTTTGTTGATGCTTAGGACAATGAGGTGCTGATTACTCATTAATATGATAATAAAAATCACTATTGTAATTACAGTAAAAACACAATAACAAGAAAAACACATGTAAAACACTAGATGAAATATTAGCCCTGAAGGCACATGTGTGAACTCTACTGACTTCACATGCTGTACTATCTCCAAACTGCCAATCGCGATGTTAATGTAATCATAGTTGAAAACTGAATACACTTAATAGCTATAGTCCATGGTTTTAATAAAAAAGGAGTCACAATCAAGCTGAGAATACATTATCCAACAGCCCACGGTACTCAGTGGGAGGTGCGGGCACTGTCGTACGCGCCACTTCGGCACCACAGCCTGCTGGATCAGCAAATGTTTATAAATTGGTTGCAGCGCAGCTGCCAGGCGAAGCCTAGGACAAGACTCAGGCTCATCCCTTTGGATGCAGAGTCAGATGCTTTCTCTCCTCAGCTGCCAAATGCTCTCACTTTAACCTCAAATAACTAACACAGCTTAGGGACAGCACACGAGCCACCTCCAATCTCCTGAGCTGGTTACTGAGGTTAGTTCTCAGTCATCCAGTGGTGCTGCGTGAAGACACTGATTGAGCCAGCAGCCTAAGGTAGAGATGGGGAAAGGACAAATGGGAGTAATTAAGACTCCTGCCTCCTAGCCTAACTTAAGCTTCTAAACCCAGGCATTTTGCAACAGAAAGAGAAAAGGCTCTACTGAACTTCGATGTAGTCATCAAACCAAATGTTTGTGTTAAGTACAGATGCTTGGAAAAAAAGAGAGAAAAAACGAAAATAGAAAAATTTAATCTGGCTGGGGACAAAATACACAACCATCTTCTCATTAATTCAACTGATGTTTCCTTGCATGTGTTCTCAGATAACATCAGCTACGTATTTTTCTGCTTTGTAAAGAAGTTACGAGTTCCTTCGAAGTATCCACTCTGTAAAATAGCAACGGTACCCTATTTGTCATGTTTGCAAGGAAATCCCACTGATTTTGGATATCTGAATCTTACTCCAGATATCTCCAGACTGCCTGAATTCCTGAAATGTTTTTCTGTGGGATGAGCCTCATTGCTTTGCATCTTCAGGAAAGCTTACAGCAGGGTTACCACCAGGTTAATGAAAAAGCACACAGTGTGCACAGAAACTGATAAACAAGCCGGTATCTGCCAGCACATTTCTAAGCAATTCTTACACCTGTTTCCCCGCAGATCCTTTCATGTCCCTACTTTGTGAGTGCGACTATGCACGTGTAGAGATCCTACATACCAAATGCTATGAGGAATGGGGGGGGTGTATAAATGTATATTTATAAACATTATGCAACCCCAGTGCGAGGTAATCAGGCTCTGCTGTGCCAGTCAAGCACCAGGAGAAGCAGAATAACCATGTTTCTCACCCCTTCAGTAGTTTTTTTTTCCATTTCCCGGTGTGTGTGCTTGCATGCGGGCTCGCCTGTGTGAGTGCACACACCCGCCCGGGCACGCTTCACCCGCTGTGTCGGGACTCTGAGAACGAGGCTGTTCCTCTGTAAATCCAGAAGCCATTAATTCTATGGTGCGTTTCAGGAGAAGCCCAGCACAGGGTGCAAGGAGGGGGTGTGAGCAGCTCTGCCAGGGCTGGGGTGAAGCCAGCAGAGCTGCTCATCCGCCTTAGCTTTGGCAATTTACACTTCTTTGGAAGTGGTGGTGGTAGTGGGGGGTGTTATGCAACCAGAAGTTAACTTCAGCTTTATAAAAAGCCTGTGATGTGCAGAGCTGGCAGCGGTGGGGGCCCTAGAGAAGTGGCCTGGGGGAGGGGAGCCAGCCCGCTTCTCAAGAATACATCAAGCCCTTGAGGAAGCGGAGTGTGCCATGTTTGAAGATGCAAAGATAATCACAGTGCTGGGAACCGTCTTGTGTAGCGGAGGAAGCCAAACAACAAGAGGAAAGCAGCATATGCTCCTGATTTCGCACAGGAAGCCAGCAGCACCTCCTGCCAAAGTGAGATAAGAAAACTCCCATGGCCTATTCTGGACAAGGCCGCGGTTATCAACCTTAGCTTCACACTGTCCTCACCGTGCTCCGCAGCCTGCTCCCTTTCCTAATGAGTTTCAGAGCCCTCACCTCTATGAGCATACAGCATGCCAAGCACAATAGTGTGGTATATTTATAACTATCGCCGGGGAAAACTTTCCAGGGTAAGAGTGTACTTCATGTCATCTTGATGTATTTCACTGAAATCAAACTACAAACCAGTTCCAAGCTGAAGTCCTGCCCAGCAAAGTACTGGTCTCAAAAGAGAAGTGGTTTTGTTGTCACCTCAGTGATTTATAGAGGAGTGTAGGAGCTGAGGTAAAGGATTTTTCTAATTATTCACAGGACGGATTTGACCCTCTGTGTGACAGACAGAAAGCCCTAGACTCAACTTGTGTCTAGACACATCTTCCCCATCTTGGAGACAGTTCTGCAATTTGCAGCTCAAGTAGTACAGTGACAAATAGCAGCAGAAGACCCCAGTCCCCATAGCAGTGGAAAAAGGCTCATCCTTCGTCTCCTCATCTTCTCAGCTCCTCCCTCCCAAGCCCCTCTGTGTGATGCCAGAGGCCATCGCAGTCTTTCCCTCCTGCAATATCCCATTCAGTCCTCTAAGCATTCCTCTTGGACAAAGCCACCGGCAGCCTCAATCACACTCCTGCTTACTGAGGTAGGATTTGGCAACTGCACCAGAAGCAGGAGCAAGAGGAAGCCATCCTGTCACTGATGGTGACCATTTTTAAGAGTGATTAATGGCAGACACAATATTTTTCTCAGCATCTGTCCTTTGTTTTAGGGCAGTGATCAATTCCTAGCAG